ATATATATATATATATATATATATATATATATATTTGTCCAAGCGTAGCTTTATATGTGGCACGAGGCCGAAAGTATGTACTTCTCAGTAATAACAGGACAATGAAAATAGAGATGTAATCAGAAAAAAACTGCACGTTCCAAAACAATAACACATTTCTCAGAGCATTTTTTCGGATTACATCTCTATTTTCGTTGTCCTCTTATTACTGAGAAGTAAAAACAAGAACAAGATCTACTTCCATACCTGAGGATGTCTGTAGGAACAGACGAAATCTTGTAAAAAATTAAAAAAGACCTTATGCAACTGGAATTTATAAACGGGGATCATATTATTCATATACAGGTTCGGGGTTGATGTATCTTATTTATATTGTTTGCGAAGATGTATTCTCGCCATTTCAATCATTAACATCTATATTTGTTTTTGCATGAATGTTTCATGAATTTATTTATATATATATATATATATATATATATATATATATATATATATATATATATTATCTATAATATTATCTATCTATCAATCTATATATATATATATATATATATATATATATATATATATTTGGTTGGATAGATGTGAGTTTGTGACCCTGGGTTTCACGCTTTAGCGATCGTCAGACAAACTGATTAATGTTTTAAAAAATTTGGGTTTATGTAGATTGCGTGTATTAGTGTTATTGTGGAAGTGGTGGGGGAAACTTCGTTGTTTTGTCATCGTACTAACGCAAACATCGATGTATGCAGACATATATACATACTTGGTCGTCCGTCGGGACTCATATATATATAAACATATGTGGGCAGTTTCGGCTATGACACATGTATGTATACGGGTGGTGTTATGTCTATACATACGCATTTGTATGTTGAAATGTTGAAATTTAAACATTGGAAGTGTGGCGGAAATGTCTCGTTAGTGTCTCGTGAATGTATCCATGTCATATTATGAAAATATTTTTTTTTCTTTTCGCTGAAAAATATTTCCTCGCATGTATGTATATACGTGTGGTTTGTGTAAAATTATGTTAGGTAAAAAATTATTATTATTATTATTATTTATATTTATTTTTAAATTTTTTGAAAAAATGGGGTTTGTTTGTTATATTTAAAGCTGGTTATTTGTTTGTTTTTGGTGACTGTGTATATGTAACAGGTAAAAATTTGTAATCCTTATTGTTTAATTTATATGGTGATGTTTAATATACTGGGTGAGAGGGTGCTTCAATTTAATAACGGGTCTATATGATATGATGTGATAGTAATGTTTCAAGGGATTGGAGACAATGCTATTTAGCTATTATTTATTGTAAATTGGAAGAAATTGCAAATTGGTAGAAATGATTAGTAACGGTGGTGGGAGAATGATAAAACCATGAATGTAGTTATAGTGGTGGTAGCTTGAACTAAAAAGTGGTTGTTGGTGTTTTATTTTATTTTTGTTTTATTTTGTTATATGTATTAATTTATTTTGGTATAAATCCTGATAATAGGTATTCTGTTTAAAATTATGGTAGTTGAAGATTGCTATAATTTTTAATTTTTAATTACAAAATTATTATTGTTATTATATTAAAGCTGCCTGGTAATAGGTGTTTGTTCTCATGGTTACATATGGAAATTATATCTGATCATATTGTTTTATGGTATTAAATATGCTGGGGGAGTAATAAAGATTGTAGTGGATTATATGTTAATAGTGGGTGTGATGTGTAAGTGATGGTGCTGTGTGTTGGTGGTAATGATAATATTGATGGTTAATAGATATTGTAAAGTGGTAAAAGTGATTACTAATGGTGGTGCAATTATAATAATGATAGGTGCAATTATTTTGATAAAATACACGCAATCTACATAAACCCAAATTTTTTAAAACATTAATCAGTTTGTCTGACGATCGCTAAAGCGTGAAACCCAGGGTCACAAACTCACATCTATCCAACCAAATATGTTAGCTCTATCTCTGATATTGAGCGCTTTCTAATAAGTACCGCGCATATAATATATAAATAATTATACATATATATATTTTATTTATTTTTATATATATATATATATATATATATATATATATATATATATATATATATATATATATATATATATATATATATATTGAGTTCTCTCAGTCACACTGTATTTATCTAATTTATTTAAATTCATTTTCATCCCTACCGTGCGCCAACGGATTAGTGGTAGAATCTCCGACTGATGCGAATTCAGCCGGGTTTCGATCCTAGCTAGGGGCAACCGGACGTCTAGCCGCACTGATGAGCTGTGATACAGCGAAACAGTCTTTCTGTGGATGACAATATATATATATATATATATATATATATATATATATATATATATATATATATATATATATATATATATAAATATAAATGACGGTATGTTCATCATTTAAGGCCAGGATCTGTCCCTATAAAAACGGCAGTTTTAACTTCAGTTATGTTTATGAACGAAATTGCAATATGGCACTCGTTAGCCATCCGGTTATACGATGTCAATGAACTCCATCTTCCTTTCTTTTGCTACTCTCTGCAATAATTACTCTTCTATGACTCCTTTTTTCCCCGTTGCTATTATATACACCGTGCATTTGCTCAAAATTATCACTTAGATTTGTGGCTGCTTCACCTTGCTTTTCTTGTTTACAATATGACACATTCCCTTCGAGTGGCCTTGTAGTTAAATATCTACCTTCCATGTTAGAATATTTTATATCTGTACTAATAAATATTACGCTACGTTGTGCCTTTCTTGTTGTTTTACGTTAAGAAACCCATAAGCATGCAACGATCATTAGAATATAGATTAACTTTTAAAATGTCCTCCTTTCGTAGTGTCCTGAATTAATCCTGGTTAATCCTGATCATCAATTGAGATACCGTGTTTGTGCATCTTGTACTTACATATATATAGGATGTGTTTCCTTACTCGATGGTCGCGCTACCGGAAGTCTAGTGTGGCCGGATATGAGTGGAAGAAATTGTATGAGTGTTCCCCGTGATATTGCAGCAGTGTGGCGGGGTTGGGGATTTTTTACTCTCAAAGGAAACAGGAAAGAGTTGAAGTGTTCGGCTTCCCGAGGAGAAAGTTGCGAGTGTTGATTAAACAAGTCACATATTGGCAAGAGGCCTCACCGACTTGAATCAGGACGATTTGCACATTTCCTTTTCGTGCAGGCAACAGTTACTCATTTGTTGATAACAATAGGTAACTTAAGGACAAATAAAATAATACTAAACTCCTATCTTCAAACATTGGAAAAGTGGAATCACGAAGTTAAAATACATCTTGCACAACTGTTATATATATATATATATATATATATATATATATATATATATGAAGAAAAATATACGGAAAAAACAAACAAAAATCCTTATATGCAATTATGCTGTTTTAATGTTAATATAATGTCAACGTCAGACGTTTCGGTCTAATAAACCATCTTCAGGACATATTCATAAAATATAATTATCTGTTTGGATAAGTCTTGTTCTTATGTCCATCGTCTTTGTCATGTTGAATTGATAATGTTAATTATATTTTATGAATGTGTCCTGAAGATGGTTTATTAGACTGAAAACGTCCGACGTTGACATATTAACATTAAAACAGTATAATTGTATATAAGATTTTGTTTGTTTTTCCGTATATTTTTCTTCATACTGTCGGATCTATATCCATATATTTGCTTATATATATATATATATATATATATATATATATATATATATATATATATATATATATATATATGTGTGTGTGTGTGTGTGTGCATAAAATTTCAGATGAAGTATATCTGTCGAAGGACAATATGAATAAAGACAAAAAACAAACTCAGCCGAAGCGTTTCGTACTTTGTGGGACTTTTCCATGGTAAATACAAAATAGACTAGACCAAAAAATATATTGATTTTTCAAAACTGAAATACGAAAGAGAACTAGGATGTCCGGAGATTGTGGGAAGAGGAAAGATTCACACTGAGAAGAATTTGGTAAGAATACTGCGAACGTTGGAGAAAGAAAAGTTGAGGGAGTTAGGTACATTTTGCTGAGCTGCATTAGACTTAATATCTTTGGTAGCTTATAGACATGGTGCGGGAAAAGCCGAGAATAGTCATAGCGTGTAAATTTGTGTAAGGAAAAAGCCAAGAATAGTTATGGCGTGTGATTTGTGTAAGGAAAAGGCCGAAAATAGTTATGGTGTGAAAATTTGTGTAAGGAAAAGGCCAAAAATAGTTATGGCGTGGGATTTGTGTAAGGAAAAGGCCGAGAATAGACATAGTGTTTGATTTGTGTAAGAAAAGACCGAGAATAGTTATGGCGTGTAAATTTGTGTAAGGAAAAGGCCAAGAATAGTTATGGCGTGTGATTTGTGTAAGGACAAGGGCGAGAATAGACATGGTGTGTGATTTGTGTAAGAAAAAAGCCGAGTATAGTCATGGTCTGTGATTTGTTTAAGGAAAAGGCCAAGCATAGTTATGGCGTGTAAATTTGTGTAAGGAAAAGATCAAGAATAGTTATGACGTGTGATTTGTGTAAGGAAAAAGCCGAGATTAGTCATAGCGTGTAAATTTGTGTAAGGAAAATGCCAAGAATAGTTATGACGTGTGATTTGTGTAAGGAAAAGACTGAGAATAGTCATGGTGTGTGATTTTTGTAAGGAAAAGGCCGAGAATTGTACTAGTAGGTCGTCTTATCTAACATGTTCGGGCTGCAACATAGTGTGGCCTCTGCGTTTCCCATCTGAGGTACTAGCAAGGACACATTTCCATGCGCGTCATGACACTGCACGAACCCGAATATTATGCGACTCTTGATCAGAGTAGACTCTACCCAAGTGTTCGTTCTCCTACCTACCATTTGATAAGCAGCAACCAGAAAACTGCCAAGGCAGTACCCTCAGTATAAAGAGAGGTAGCTACCAGAAAAAAAGAACTCTTGACAACGCCATTCAGGTCTCAGAAAAGGAAAGGAACCGGAGACCCCTTCCTAAACAGGAAACAAAGAACGTTCAAGTGAAGGGGGAACACGATAGGAAAGACTATTTAATACTTATGAAAAAAGTTTCTAAGTTTTAAGTTACTTAAAATCGATGTATCCATAAGAAATTCAACAAAGAATTATAAGTAGTAGGTCCTATAGTACTTAAGATAGTAAGTATCTCTGAGAGATGATTCAAGACAAGTATCTCTGAGAGATCTTTCAAAAATCTTTTTGGCTTTGACTTTCCAGTTAATTCTCAGAATGAATTTTTGACATCTTATTTGGTGAGTCGATCATCAGTCCACAGGACTCATTTAACCGTGCGACAAGTAAATGGCATTTTGCTTTATTTTGGGACTTTTGTGGGTAGGGGTAAAAGTAGTAGTCTATTCGTGAAAAATATAGTCAATGGACAAGTAACAGAAAAAAAGAAAGAAAAAACACGATGGCTGGTAAACATACGGATTAACTGTAATAAAAATGATTCCTGATTCAAATTGGGAGAGATAACATATATATATATATATATATATATATATATATATATATATATATATATATTTCGGGTGTATTCAGATCTTCCTTATATATATATATATATATATATATATATATATATATACGGGGATGTATCTCTTGGATGATATATATATATATTTTTTCAATCCGATGAAACTAATTTTCTCAATATATATAAATATATTTTCCATATATATATATTTTCTCAGCAATATATATATATATATATATATATATATATATATAGATATATATATATATAGATATATATATATATATATATATATATATATATATATATATATATATATATATATGTAAATTCCCAAGAGGATAGAACTCATTGTCCAGGAGAGAGTAAGATTATAATATAAAACGCTCAAACACTAATATTCCATTGTTATAATTTATTACATTTGATTCGTAATTACGATCCAATTCATCAGACCTAAAAATTCAAAGCTTGAATTTGTAGTTCTGATGAATTCGATCATAATTACGATTCCAATGTAATAAATTATAACCATGGAAATATTAGTTTTGATATATATATATATATATATATATATATATATATATAGACATCCGATTGCTTCAAGCCGGGATCGAAAACTCGATTTGCATCAGGTATATATATATATATATATATATATATATATATATATATATATATATATATATATATATATATATGAATTAAAAAAGACAAAAAGTAAAACTATTCTTAGCGGACGCGTTTCGTCTTTTGAGTGACTTTATCAAGGGGAATGTAGAATTTATTTTGTTGCCCGTATTCATATACAAACAGCAAGGATATTATTGGATTTAGCAAGGCTTTCAAATTGCCATATTTTCATATTCCATCTTTCACCGTCTGGTAAGACAAAAAGTAAACTACTAAGATTCAATAATTTTTTTAATAAATGAATATTGTTTAAATTGTAATCAAATCAACTATTCGCCCTTGGTGTATTGCTGCCATATATGGTCTGGAGCCCCTTCTGCTTGTCTCAAGGTCCTTGATAAAATCCAGAGGCGGATATGCAATGTAATTGGCCCTGATCTGGCATCTCGTCTGCAGCCGCTCTCTCACAGACGTACGGTCGCCTCCCTCTGTCTTTTTTACGGTAACTGCTCCGATGAGCTGCTTTCGCTGGTTCCCAGACTTCATGAATTTAAGCGTTCAACTAGGCTGGCATCTCGCTCTCACCTTTTCACTGTCGAAACTGTTAATCTTAGCCGTCTCTTCTACTCCAATAGCTTTATGTCTCGCACCTCTCGCCTGTAGAACTCCCTCTCCTTTTCCTGTTTCCCTGATAGCTATAATCTCCAACTATTCAAATGTAATGTCAATCGACATCTCCAGATGCCTTGATCTATCTCCTATCCTTCTCTTCATCCTTTCCTCTATCACTCCTAATTGATCTTGCTCTAACTCTCTGTAACCCCTTGCGTGCTAGTGGCTTCTCGCCTTGGAGTTGAATGCTTAAAAAAAAATTGTCATGGCTTGGGATGAACTTATGTGATGCATATCTTCAAAAACATTAGGTAAACCATTTAATCATTTTATTTTTCAATATATTTGTGGTTTTGTGTCTTGATTTGGGAATGTAATAATTCTTTTAAGAAAGATGAGATTGGAAAGATGCTGGGACGTATATTTTGATATAAGATTATGGCACTTTGTGTTCTCGATTGACCTTTCAACGACCTGATGAATATTCGCAAACTGTCTCAAATTTAAAAGCCTTAATAAAACAATGACATCCTTGCTCTAGTATATAAACACGTGCAACATAATAAATCCATTCAAGGAGGAAACACGTCGGATAAGACGAGCTTTCCTCTTCTCTTTTTATTTATTTTGTTCCTTTGCTGTTACACGCTATCTGAAAATAATTTACACACAGAGACACACAATAATATCCATAGAACTGAATATGTTAGCTCTATCGCAGATATTGATTACTTTCCA